AACTCCAAACTAACCCTTACCCTAAATTAATTAAAAACAAAAAACACGTGACTGGACACGGCTTTAGACGTTCCCCATATCGCGGAATACTCCTGACTGTATTAGGTTCTGATCTTAGTTCTTTTAAGATTTTCAGGAGTTCTGAACATTTTTACTTAACTTACCCAACTCCTGTTTCATAGTGCAGTTTTTGAGATATAGCGTACTAATTATTCTTAACCACTGGCATGAGTTAAAAATATCCAATTAAAAATATAGCATTATTATTAAATATAATTTAAAAAAAAAATTAAAGCTTGATTTAGTAAAATACTATATAGCTTGTTTTTAACAATAATTTTAATTTTATATAAAAATTTAATATATTTTTTTTTAATAACATCTAATCTACATATATATTAAAAAAATATATATACATAATATATAATATTGTTTAATATACTATGTATTTGTATTTGAAGTAGTCAAATCATTTATTTCAATTACAAAGTTTAATTTTGATTCACTATTACTTTGTTAAAAATAGGTTTACAAACAATTCAATCTGATATTTAACATTTTTTGAAAAATTTTATTGTGTTTATTGTTTTTTTTTTTTTGAATAAGAATTAGCAGCTTGAATTTAATCAAGTTTTATTAGTGTGAACTAGATTGCTCACTGTAATTCAAAATTTTGAAATATTGTTAGCAGATAATAGCCGACAAGCCATATCAAAATCGACTCAGTCAAGCTTATAAATTTTTGATCGACTATCTTGACCTGCTGCGGTATCTGTGTGTTTCCGAGCTTTCTCTATGTCTACGTCTGTTTTCGCTATCTTTAGTTCTGTTACTATGACTGTGTCGACTTTGATGGTAGGATATATGACGCTTTTTGTGTTTGTGAGTACTACTGCGATAATCATCTTTGGAAGAAGTATTCAAATGTTTAGATCGAGATCCCCTTCTGTCGTGATCATCTTTTTCCGGAGACTCATGTCGATGATGTGAACGATGATATTTACTCCGATGTTTATGAGTTGATGAATGGCGTCGTTTTTCAGGTGATGAAGGAGGATATTTTTCAGGAGAAGGAGGTGTAGTAGGTCTATCATCATTCACGGACATTCTATCATCATCTAATAGCAGAGTTTCGTCATCATTTGTGGATACATCGATAACGTTATCATCATCATATATTCCCTCATCAGGCACTGATTCTTCAGGTGCTAATATTGGCTTGGGAGAACGCGACCGCGTTCGACGCTCAATATCTTCTGAGAGTTGTTCAGCAGACGCTGGAAGACTGACCCTGTCATTTGGCATATCTGTGTCAATATTGTGATTGGAGTTATGATATTCTGATTTGCCATTCTCATCTCGTCTCTCATTTGTTGATTCATGTCTTTCATCTCTCCTTTCTGATATAACAGGACTTCGCCTGTCACTTCTCCTCTCAGACAAATTAGAATCTCGTCTACTATCTCTTCGTTCTGATAAATTGGAATCACGCCTATCTTCCCTTTTTTCAGGCATGGAATACCGACGGTCATCATAATATCGACGGTCGGCAGAATATCGACGGTCGGCAGAATATCGGCGATCTTCTTTTCTGTCAACAAATGCTTCTCGGCTACGACTGCGACGCCTTGAAGATATTGATGTTTTTCGTCGAACATCAGGAGATGAACGTTCATGTCTTGAAGGAGATCTGCTATGTCGCGAATCATCGCGATTTCTCCGTGATGATTGATGATGAGATCTACTTCGACTTCGACTCCTACGTGACCTTTCTTTACTTCTGCTGCGGGTTGGAGCTTTATCTCTTAGTCTTCTATTTTTTATTTCATCATCTAATATCGCGTCCCTGTCGCGCCTGTCACGATCAGAAGTATGAGAAGGAGACCTTTTATCCCGAGCTTCAATATCTCTTTCGGCGGAAATACGCGATGCAGACGATTTACGTCGTGCCAAATCGCGTCCAAAATCATCTACAAGTCGATCATTTTCCTCATCACGATAATCAGACCTTCCAGATATAAAATAATATATAATCTTTAGTTTTACGAATGATTACGATTTACTCGCTCAATTTACTTACATATCTCGTCTTCCAATCGAGGGTGGAACACTAGATTCTCGTCTGAAATCACCCATACCACGTCCACTAGCAAATGATGAGCGATCACTGAAAAATCCAGGACTAGAACCTCTTCCGCGGCCACGAGCGCGATTTGGAAAATTTCCACGTGGAAACCCTCCACGAAAATTGCCTCCTCTAAATGGTTGCATTCCTGCATTACCTCCCATTCCGCCCATATTTCCTGCAAACGGTACAAAATTGCCTTGTGGTGGCATCATTGGTCTACCGTCCCAAAATTCGTCGTATACCGGTGGTCTAAAATGTGGCATAAATTGTGGTTGTGAAGGGAATGGTTCTGCGGGATAAAACCCTGAATCGAAGTATGATGGGTCGTAATAACCTGGCCCATTCATCATATTCATACCCATTTGAGGATAAACTAATTACATTTATATTTGATAAAAATTTAGCAAAACGGTCCTTTAACTAACACTTGATTCTATTTCTTACCTTCATCATACCAATATCCTTGATTTTGATCATAGCCAAATCCATAATCATTATAATAACCAAATGGACCATACCCTTGTGATGCTATAGGATTTTGCCCAAAAGATTTCCCTGCAACATTATTTGAATATTGATGTCGCTGCATTTGTGACTGTTGAAAATGTTGCGATTGTTGTGATGAGTGTGACTGAGATTGATGTGTTGGTATTTGCGATTGTGGAATAGGCGGAAGATCATGTGTTGGTTTCTTTGGTAGCTCCGTTTTAGCATTCTGAAAAGGCAAGAAACATATTTTACATTTAAGGCTTTACCGTTCAACATAGGGATAATTAAATTTATAAACATACCAACTCGGCCTTTGCTTTTGACATTTGAGGAGATTGACTAGAATTTTCTACATTATCAAGTCCCGTTTCTGATAAACCACTCGTGCTTTTTTCCTTTTCTTCTGTTTTTACAAGTTCATTTAATGAATCTGTAGTATCTTTTTCCACAGATAGGTCTACGTTATTGTTTGCTACCAGCGGATCTTCTAACATTTCCAGATTATTTCCTTCATCATCCTCATTAGCTTCCGGAACAGTGGGTTCGTTCCTACGTCTAGCCCAATCTCTTAGATGACCATCGACTGCCTCCCGCGCCGCCTTGTTTGGTACTAACTCATCAGGTACCAAATGAGATTGACAAGTTGGGCACTTGAACTGTTGATCGTCTTGTTCGGGATTAATTAGAGCAGGGCGAATACCTAATGATAATTTAATTTTGCCCGTTTTATTTTACCAAATATTTTGTTATTATTAAAAAAATAATGAAAGCAATTCGTTAGTGAACGATAACCTAGCTTGAATTTTATCGAGTAGATTTGATATAAGGTGCTGTAAAGTTAGTATTTAAATGAAACAAAAGTTTCGTGGCAGAGATGTTAATTGCTCTTATACATATTCCATTTGATTCACTGGATCTTTGTGATACCCTAAATTGAATGCTCGATTGCCAAAGGAAATCATTCCATTATATTATCTTGACATTATCGCTATTATTAATACATATTCACACGAGCATTGAAAAAAATTCATGACATCCTGGAAAAAAGATCTATCTTTTTCCGTTAAAATTGGCAAAAGCATTTAATATTAAGGTATCACTAGCTAAAAGTGTTGATCTATACTTCCATATATCATAAGATTGATGGAAAAAACTTAGAATTTGATAATCATTCAGACCCACTAAACTAGAACTCGAGATTTTAAGAACTCTGAACCTCGAGAAATAAAAATGAAAGGGTTATATTTATTTTGCAGCAGATAAATTGCAAACAAAACCAAAATATAATTTGCAATAAAATTAAGGGGAAAATTATAAAACAGAAGAATCGATAATATTGTGTCTATTCTAGCCTGTCTAAACTGTCTATAAATCTCATAAAGCAATTCTAAAAAGTGTTGCCGATATGGACAACGATAACAATACGTACATTCATCACAAAATGAAGCCCGACAACACGGAGTAATAACAGCTTCTTTCAGAAGTCGAGAGCATAGCATGCATTGAAGTTCGGCCGGAATCGGTAGTGTATCTTCTAGAACTTCATTAGATGTTACATACGATTTCTGACGAGCGTGGAACTTTTGCCAAGCAGCCCTAGAATTGATAGTAACGTTAATGTGATACTGTATAATACATTTTTATTATTGCTGACGTTGATTTATAATGAAACATTGATGCTTACTCATTTGCTTGTGCAATAACTAGGTTTCCATCTTGTGTGACAAGAACACCTTTCCCTGGCGGCACTTGTTCTACTTTTTGTAAAAAACTTCTCGGTATACCAGTTGTTTTTCTGACCTTCATATGATCAAAGGATCTGTCACCATTTGTCGGGCATGCTTGAATCCAGTGGCCTATAAATATTCAGATCATCAATTAAATGCCGCACGCACGTAAAGATGTATATTTATGTGAAAATAAATACCTTTCTGTCCACATCTATAACATACATAATTTGGCGGTAAAGTTTTTTGAACCGGTGGCTTGACTGATGGACGAACTTGATTAGGTCTTCGAAGCGCCGGTTTTCTAAAAAAAAAAAAATATATATATATAATTTAAGATACCATTTATTTATCATCGTAAATTTTGATATTACAATGGCATTAAACAAAACTTACGAAGCCATCTGCTCTTGAGTTATTTCCCAAAACTCCTTCGATTGTGCAAACATTGCTTGAATTTTATCATCTTCTGTTTGATGCTCGTCTGTTTGCTGTGTAGCAGGAGTTGGAGTTAAACGAGACACCTGTTGGGGTTGCTTCGATGGGTCAAATGTTTTTGACATAGACCTACGTGTTTAAATACTATGAGAATCAAAAATAATTTTAAATCGGGTAGTAATTAACAGATAAATGTTTACCCATTAGCGGATGCTATGCTCCCTCTGTTACTAGCTACATAATTACGTTGCGTTGTAGGCCCACCACCTTCTAAATAACGATGTGCGGTCCCTTTCCCAGGTTTAGTTGGGACGCGCTTTACTACAATTGGGGTATTTCTTGGTATAGTCGCAGTATCTTCTTGATAATCTATGAATGATTAATTTTCAATCAAATGGTCCGGTTGTTTTAAAAATATAACAAAGTGCATTGCCACGTTTTATAGCAGCAGAAACTAGGGTAAAAGCTAGATCTTACCTTCACCTGATTCAGCGTGAGACACTATAATATCAAAGTCATTTCCTTTTAATTTTTTTGCGGTCAGGATTTCTTTTTTGGCGTCAAATACAGAGATTCCCAGCCCATCGAAAGTAAGTGTATCATAATCTTTAGCACTTTTGAACTTGTAATAAATTTGAGATATAATTTGAGACATTTAAGCGAAATGTTAACGTTAGTATAATTATTTGAATAATTGAATATCTACACTATTATATCGGATCAAATAGTATGTAATATCACATGATTCCGTATATCTAGGCCACAGAGTTTTGGAATTCTTTTTTTGGAAATGAAAATGGTGTTCATTGGGGATTATTCTTAATTTATAGATAGTTGTACAGCCTACCCCGACATGTATCATCATCGTTATTATTAATACGTATTCTATACTGTTAACGTCGTATCATTGTTAATACCAACACCAACACCCCGTTACTATGTACACATCCGAAGCTTAAATCACAAATTAACGAATTTACATTTTAAATTTTTATTCTTTGCCAAAATACACGTTTCCGTGGCTTTTACGAGAAAAATTAGTGCGACACTTTGTAGATCATTGAAAATTGAAATCTTCTTTTTCATTATCAGTCATGTTTTTATGTAGGGGTTCCCAATGCTGTGCTTATTGGTTAAATAAGTTTGTATATCCACAATATACCAATTAGGGGAGGGACTATATCACCCACCCCACCTGAGTCAAATTAATTGACGATCGTCACTCCAAATTGATTGTGGCGAAGATAACTTTTATTACATCGAAAAACTCTTTGAAATCGATTATTTTAAGGATTGGTCAGAACTCATTCTTAAAAAGATCGTTTGATACTCTTGCAATCATTTGTGGCGCAGAGAAATACTTTTATTTATTACCTTTGTGAATGAGTCCAAGGGAGCGGGCAGAAATCAGCTGATTTTAGGGGTTTCTGAGTTTGGTAACACCCACAAAAAATTTTTCGGAACGTGATTTTTAGCCAATTAGATCGAAGGATCAGGCGTAACGTAAAATCAATTAAGCGAAAGATTTTAAAGTAATAAGTTTCACCTTTAGGGTTAGTAATAAGGCCAAGAGAGGATGTAGCTTATACCAAAATTTTATAAGGAATTTTTTTTGCAACAGCAGTTAAATCACCACCCTAATTAATTTCTCGGCCAATCAAATTTCAAGATCTTGTGTAACGAAAAGAAGTGCAAAAAAATCAAAACGCTCAAAATTTTGCCTATGAAAGTGCCTTCTGCGTACTAACAAAAAAAATTCCTCGTGAATTTTACTATAACTATAGCCCTCTAAACCAAACATTAACCTACTGGTGAGACCTTAACCCTAAACTAATCGCGAAACAGTTTTTTTAATAAGATCACATAGCGAAATTTTTTTAGGGTGGTGATGCTAGACTTATACGCAGAAGGCGGTTTCATAGCGATTTTTTAAAAAGACGTGATTTTCACGTTACACCTGATCCTTTTATCTAATTGGCTAAATTCACGTGCCGGAAAATTTTTGTGGGTGAGCTACAAGGGTTGGGTTTCTTGGCTGATCAGGTTATATAAATTTGATTGGGGAGGGGGTATGGCCTCTTAGTAAATTGAAATCACCTGATTTCTGCCCATGCCCTAAAATAATCGATCAGAATTCAATCTCAAAGGATTTTTTTGTATAATATAAGCACTTGTCTTTGCAACCAAATAGGTTACAGAATTTGCAAATCACATGAACTCCATGTAACAGCAGTGATGTGTTTTTTTTTATTGTCGTCTGGAAACATTTTGGAATGAGAGTTCAATGGGCTTTATTTTTTAACGCGATTTTTGATAGACATAGTTTACCTATTATTTATGCTGTTACGTTAATTTCACCTGTAATTAAACATGCATCTGATATTATAAAATCTCATACCGGCGTATGATATTTATGATTTTGCTTACATAGTGGACATAATCATTGTCGCGGCTGAAGTTGAGGCTGGAGATTAGGGGCCTCGATTTAAAATATAAACCCTACCAAAATCCACTTATGCATTTTTAACTATACAAAAAAGAATGCACCCCAAAAACTTTTGAAAATTTCATATTATAAAGTAAAACTTCAACCGCGACAATCATTACGGCGCATTCGAGGACTAAAGTTCGGTCACCAAATCCAAGTATTGGTTCCTAATTTTTAAATTTTAGTTACCAAATTATTAATCAAACCCGAAAAATTTTTTTGGACCTCTGATTCATATCGATAACGCGTCTAACCCTCTTCTTTATATCTAACCCACCTTGACGCATTCGCTAGACGTACACAGGTGAAATGATATATAATAGGGTACCAACAGACATCCCTATTGCTGTCAGATTTTGGCGCAGAGGTCAACAGGGTATCAATAGAATACCGTAAAGTGCCATACGGTAGATCCACCTATGAGATATACCCTGTGATGATTTGTGAACTTAAATTTGATTTATATCTGGGTACAATCATATCAAAGTTAAATAAATAGTACCCCAATGCCTTGAGAATACCGGGTACTATATAAAAATTAGGTAATTTATTTATTTAATTAACTATTTATTTATTTCTTCCTACTTTTGTACCCTGGATATCAGTGTTGTTACTAGCCTTAAGGTTAGTACTTTTATTTAGCCTTTAGCCTTAAGTCTAATTAGCCTTAGCCTTAAGTCTAATTGGGCTAAATCCGACAGTTCATATGGCTAAATAACAACACTGCTGGATATAGCTCAAGACATTGTAAATACCCGGATACATCAGTTGGCACTTTACGGGTAACATTATTCTGATTAATGCCTATTAATACCCTGTTGACCTTCTTTTGCGCCAAAATCTGACAGCAATAGGGATATCTATTGGTACCCTATTAGATATAATTTTACCTGTGATAGAAAACACACCCTATCCTTGGAATATGAATAATTATTGTTGCGGCTGAAGCTGGAAACGGCTGAAGCTGGAAATTTTAAATATTTTATTATGAAATTTTCAAAGTTTTTTGGGGTGCGTTTTTTTAGCTTTTTTTTCATGGTTAGATTAGGATTTAGGGTTAGTTTTGATAATGAAAGAGTATAAGTGGATTTTGGCAGGGTTTATAATCAGGGTCCCTGATTTCCAGCTTCAGCCGATTCCAGCATCAGCCACGACAATTATTTTTGAATCAGACCAAAAAATGTCATTACGGCATATATAAAATTGTAGTAGGTTAGTGATGTCCAAAAAAATTTTACCTGACCCGAACTTCCGGAATTCGATCCGACGATTCAGATTCGAACCTCAGATCGGACCTGTGAAGCATTAATACAAGTAGGGTGAGTGGCACGGAAGTCACAGGCATGCCCAAAACTTAATGGTCAATAGGCATGCCATTTATTATAGTTCCGAAATATTCCGAGTAGAAAATCAAAATTCAAAGGAAAAATTGAAGCAAAGTTCCGAAATATTCTAAAAAGATACAAAACCGCACGTATATAACCGACCAATCAAATTTGTTTATTTTATCATATGGTTTAGTGGCATGCCAGTAATACGAGCCTAATACAAGCCAACTAATATTATAGCAAAATTACGATCCGAGCAATTTTACTTAATACATCGGTCTGGTAAAATTCGCCCAAATTTGGGGGACGTCTAAAGCCGTGTCCAGTTACGTGTTTTTTGTTTTTAATTAAATTTAGGGTAAGGGTTAGTTTGGAGTTAGGGTCAGGGCATGTCTTATAGTAAAA